GCTGCTGCTCGATTTGCTCCAAGTTGTGAATTTGCTCTGAGTTATTTTTACCAGTTGAGAATTGCGAGGCTTTATAGCATGTTTTGCACAAGAACTCAGCTGCCCTTTCACTGTTGTGTTTGTAGTTCCCTTCCAAGGAAGCTGCCTGCTGTTCCCAGGTTTCTCTTTCTCTCTCCCTCTTACTATCCCCTTTAGCTACAAGAAATGCAAATAACTGATTTAAATTCTGTGTTTTGCAGGGAAAACTTCCTGCTGGGACTCGGCTTAGGCCAACTGATGTCTCCTCCCTGCCTGGAGAGAACCTCTGCTGATGGCAGGCATTTAAAAGGAAACCTGCTTGGTCTGTCCCTGTTAGCCAGCAGGGCTGAAGGAGAAAATTGCCCTTTACATGTGTTCACCACTTGTACAGGATTGGGACTGTTTATTTAGGTCACTTTCTTCTTTGGTATCATCCAATGGGGCAGGCTAAGTCACCACTTGATTCTCATTTCTCTTCCAGGTCAAGGTTGCATTTCTCTTGGATTCCCATAGGTCCATAGCAATGGCCCTGCTGTTCTCCTGATCACCCAGTTCCAACCCCTGCCATGGGCATGGACACCTCACACTAGAGCAGGGTGCTCCAAGCCCCTGTGTCCAACCTGGCCTTGAACACTGCCAGGGATGGGGCAGCCACAGCTTCTCTGGGCATCCTATGCCAGCGCCTCAGCACCCTCACAGGGAAGAGCTTCTTATATCTGTCTGTATTTCTTATATATATAATCTACATCTTCCCTCTTTCAGTTTGCTGTACTTCTTGCAACAGGGCAACCTTTTACTGCAGGTAAGGATGGATTAAATGACTGGTAGACATGCAATTGTCCCCCAGAAGGTGTCAGTTCTTTGTTACTGTAGATGAGAGATAACTGCTGTATTTGTGTCCTTATGCTGGAACAATTTTCATTAGGGTTGTTGATGGTCCCTCTTTGCTGAATGGGACTTCAGCATAATGCTAAAGGGAACGTTCTGTTTAATACTCTTTTTCCCAGCCCTTTGTCTTTCCTTCCCCCATGGTAAGTGCCAGCACATTTGTGAGCTTTTCATTTGAATGGGATTTCTTTCTAGCTGTGGGCAGAATAGAGAAAGAATCAATAGCTCTATTGATACGTGATAAAGATAAGTGATACTGCGGGATATGGGATACTACTGGTAGAAAAAGTGAAGACCATTTATTTATTCACACTCCCGAATGCCAGCATTCGTTATGAGACCTCAGTGCCTGTGTCCTGCTCTTCCCCCAGGTTTGCAGTACGTTTTTTGTTGCCAAAAGCCAAGCAGAGGATGTTTTGCCCATTGCACCCACTGTGTTCTGAGCTGGTTCTCCTTCTGCAAGTGCCTTCAGGTGCTTTTCCAGGGCTCCCGTTTTTGTTTTGTTCAAGAACAAGTTAAGGAAAAAAAGAGTTACTGGAGGTTTTAAAACCCATTTTCTTTTTATCTTGTGTTGGGTTAAAGCTTCCCTCCTAAGCAGCTTACAATCATATAAACAACCTGCAGAAAAACCTGGCTGTCAATCTGCTGCTATAAATTCCTACAGGTCCAGGGGCTTCAGGAGCTGGATATTGCACCTCCAGGCCTTGGAGTCAGAGATAACTATCAGGTAAATCACTTTTCCAACAACTGTTCAGAGCAGGTGGAGAACAGGAAGAGAGAAGAGGAGGTGTGCTGAGAGCAGAGGCAGGAGTGGGGTACCTGGCTTGTGGAAGGAGGATGGAGACCCATAAGTCCAGTGCATGCTTCTGCCTGGCACCCCAGCCCCTGGGGCTGCTTGAGGAGTGTGGTGTCGCTCCGGCTTTCGGAGCTGCTCAGGAATGATGAGCAAAATCTGATTCATAAAAGGTAAATTCACTAAGTTAAGTCAGCTGCACTGGAGTGCAAAATGGAGCCATTATCCCAGAGCCATCAGGGTTGGAAGGGGCCTCTGGAGGCCACCCATTCCAAGGCAGGGCCACCCAGAGCAGGGCACACAGGAACATGTCCATGGTGGGTTTGGGATGGCTCCGGAGAGGGAGACTCCACAACCCCCTGGGCAGCCTGTGCCGGGGCTCTGACACCCTCATGTAAAGCAGCTCTTCCTCATGTTGAGGTGACACTTGTTGTGTGTTAGTTTATGGCCACTGCTCCTTGTCCTGTCACTGGGCACCACTGGAAAGAGTCTGGCATCATCCTCCTGGCACTCACCTTTGAGCTATTGATCTACACTGATAAGATCCCCTCTCAGGCTGCTCTTCTCCAGGCTAACCAGGCCCAGCTCCTGCAATCTCTGCTTATGAGAGAGATGCTCCAGATCCCTGAGCATCCTTGTGGGCTCTACTGGATCCTGTCCATCAGCTCTTTGTCTTTCTTGTACTGAGGAGCTCAGCACTGGACACAGGACTGCAGATTATGAAGCGAAACACTGTACAGCAGCATCTTGGGAGCTCTGCAGCCTTACAGTGATACTGCCAGACTTCCCTGGCATTGCAGAGGGGATGCACTTGGGGGAGAGCTGTTCATGTGTTGGATTAGCACTGACCATGGCAAGGCTCTGCTGCTCAGCACAGCTCCTGCTCAGAAAGAGCAGCAGGAGAGGCAAAGCACGGTGTGGGAAAGGAGGGACAGGAAAGGAGGTGATGAGAGAGAGTTAGTGCAATAGGAAGAGAAGGGAAGGGAAAGAAAAGCTGGGCAGTCAGGGGGTGAGTGTGAAGGGTGATTCAGCAGCTGCACAGATGTGCAAGTTTGCCTCTTCAGTGACCCTTTTTGTTTTGTTAAAGCATGCCCAAGCCAACAAAACCAACAAACCAACATCAAGAAACAACAAAACCCCAATGTTTTTAAGGTTGCAGCCTTCTGAGATCAACAGGTAGACCCTGAAAATAAGGAAAATGTATTTGTTCTTTATGATGCTGTTATTTTTTAAATGATAGCATTAATTCTACTATCTGGATTTATTTTTTTAGTAAGAAATGGAAAATAAATCGTTTAATCTTGCTGGAAAAGTATCTTTTGAAACAGGCAGGAATGGTTGCAAAACCCTTGCAATATTTTTAATGGTGATTTTCTACACTTAACTCTCCCTGAAAGTTGGAGAAAGGGAATCTTGGATGGATGACAGTAAGCTCGCAAGCGAAGCTGCTTTCAGATGTGCTAGGAAGGATATCCACAGTAATAGGATTAGTACAAAAAGAACACGTCGTCTTTGTACCTGAAATGCTGAGGCTAATTTGTCTTGGTTCCACCCCTCCAAAACTTTGGTAACAAATTGCTTTTGTCAGGAGCACTTAATGATGTTTCACTGTTAAACTGCTCACAAGAAATATCTAACACCTGCTGGGAAAATTATCTGCAAAGGTTATTGCAGTAAGGCTTGGATGTAAAATGTCAAAGGACAACTTCATCTCTTTCCTCTTCTTCACCCCAGCTACAGGCAGGAAAACTGGGAGAGCTTTTGCATAGCTGTCAGACAGACAGGAGTCTGCTTCCTTCCACCCTCAGGAGAGCCTTGGGATGCATTTTATTGCAGCTAATGGGTGATCTGAAGGTAGAACACTGAAGGCAGAGAGCATCAATAATTCACTAGAACTTTGCTGGAGAACAGTCTGACAGAAGAGCTTGATGTCTGCCTCCGTCACCTGAAGGACGACTTGACAGCAAGACCAAGAGGTCTCTGAGAGCTACACGATGCCTGTGTGGAGGGGAACAGACACACAGGAGAATATAACAAGATGCTGCAGAGCAACTTTAAGTTTCCCATTCAAGCAGTTTTGTTATACCAAAGCCTTTCATTTGAAACAGATAACAGCACACTGAGATGTTAAAAACTTCTGTTTGTTAACTGCTAACATTCATGTGTGTGGGAGACTGATGCATGAGATCCAATCACTCATGGAAGAGATGCAGGATCAGTCTAGGCCATATCCCACCTCTCTTGACAGCAGTAAGGAAGAAAGTCTCTTCATGCTTCTAAGATCAACATTCAGTCTCCAGATTGATCTAGGTGTTTGTTATTGACATGCCCATTTCTAATGTGTTTGCAGGATGGAGAAGCGGCAGTGGACATTATGATCAAGCTTGGCTGCAGTCTTTGGCCGTGATTTCTCTTCTGGTTATGTCAGATTTCCATGAAGCCAGCAGTCAAAAGCTTGATGTGTTCTGTACTTCACAGTCTCGACCTGTGCAAGCAATCCCCCCTGCACCTTAGATGAGGAACTCCTGAAAGCTGAGTGCACTCTACATCATTCCTACTCAGCAGCATTGTGCAGCAGTAGGGTCCCTCCATGTGGCTGATCATTCTGGCTCCTCTTTGTGAGCACTAGCTGGGGCTCACAGCTATCTGTGCATCCGTGTAGTGCAAACTGATTAAAATGGGAATGGTGTGCATCCATCGGGATCAAGCTAAGGTAGTTTTGCCCGACACAATCTCTCTCTGTCAGTGCTGTATTTCATGTTTCTGTGGAAAGAGGTTTTTCCTATTCTATATTATGTTAGTGAGGTTTATGTGCTTTATCTGATAAAAGCATTTTGCACCTACAGTAAAGAATTCTGAAGAAAGAAAGTCTTTACAAAACCCAGCAGCTGTGAAAGGTATCCAGGTAATGCTTGATGTGTGCCATGTGTATGCATGTTCTCTTTCATTGTGGGTTCAGATAACTGTGTTCATGTAAAACACAGAAACACCTTGGCAGTATAAAGGGACTATTTCTGTTCCTTCAGCTTTGATAATGAAATTACAGAAAGGGTCAACATCCTTTGCCATCTTTTCGAGTGGTACGGTTTGGAATATTTCTCTTTCTGCTCATGTGCCCTCTCTGTTTTCAGGTGAATACAGTTGTAGCTGCTCTCTTATGGACACCTTTATTCAGTCTCGTGCTGCATCATACAGGTAGATTTTTGACAAGTGCAGAACATGCCTCAGATTATTCACTAAATGCTAGTGATGTGACAAGAAAACCTTTGGAAAGCCCCACTGCACAACAGGAAACACCGATGTCGAGTTCATAAAAGCTGCCTTTGCAGGACTACAGGAAAATCCTCACTGTGCTTATGGAAGTCTTAAGAGAGAAGTAAAACCTCTGCTATTTTTTGTGTAACTGCAAGCAAAGTTTACATCTCTTTCCAAGTTTATGACCTTGACAATACAAATGCATTAAAACTTCATCACTGGGATGGTCTCTTGTCACAGTTTCTTGCAAGCAGTCATTTTTCCCCTGCAGCCATCCCTTATGCCAGTCTTCTGTGCTTCTTTTCTGCAATGTGTGAAAACGTTGGCTCCAGCTGTTATATTGTCTGGAAAGACCTCCCCACAGCTGGTGATTATAAGGGGAAATGTTATCTGATGGGCTTAAAAGGACCTGACAGCTGCCAGCAGCTCTTTGGTCAGCTGAGAGGCCACATGCAATGTCCTCTCTGGACCTGCCTCAGGGTACAGCAACGCTGATGCCTGCTGCCTTCTCCCAGCTCCCAGCCACATACGAGCTCCCAGCTTCAGTAAGGGACTTCACTCTTCTGTTTAGTGTTGCCCATGTGTAAACAAGGGGTGGGGTAAATCTGTTCATGCTATGAGCTATTCAGCACTCAGCTAAATGGGCTACATGCAAAACCTACTGAGATACTGCAACTTCTTATTCTGGAACCTATTTTAGAGTATTGAGAATGCAAAGTAAGGAGTAAACACAGCCTGTCCTTCAGGCTGGGATCCCAGTGAGCACTGGTATACGGGGTTTCTGATTTGGCAGGTTTCCCTTTTCTGGGTTCATCTCAAAAATCAAAGCAGGTTTCTGATAAAGCTGGTTAGTTTATTGGGTGTCTTTGTGATTACAGGAGCATGAGCTGCTGCATGCACACCTGTGCTTCCCAAATGACTACTGCAAAGGAAGCTTCTCATTTTATACTCAAGTAATACACCTACAGCCATCATATTGTTAATATTCATCAGGGAAGGACACTGACTAGATGGAGAGTCAATAATAGACTCCACAGAAGGATTATGTATGTTGTCACATGAAGCAGAAGGGCTGTCTCTTAGCATTTGAGGACTATGTATGTCCCATAGATGTGTCCTGAATTTGTGCATCAAGGCTATCTATCCCTGAAAGGTGGGGATGTTCATGGTGGTTCTCATGCACTGCATGAACTCAGGCAGGGACCCTCTGTCACTCACCCGTTGCCTTCAGATGGGCATTACCTTTCCTGCTCTTGATCCACACATTTGGATTTAGTAGCTTGGAGGGGACAGGCTCGTGTGGATGTGGCACATTGATACTGCAAACAGCTCCTCTCTGCATATTTTCTGCACGAGTAACTCAGATAATCAAGCCTTAAAAGCAAACAGTGGAACAAAACAACACTCAACCCAAACTTCAGAATGGCAGCCAGGTCTATTTCCAACCTCCGTCAGCAATGCTTAAGTGAGCTGGGGCTTCTCTGACAGCAGAAGTTGTAGGTGGAAACACTTCACATAAACACAGAGAAAGCAAGTGCACAGCAGGCTTCTGAAACAGCAGTGCTAGAAGACAATTTTTAAAGGTCAGAATTATTATAGGACATTAATTAGCAGTCAGATAATGCTCAAATTGCCTTAGATGCTGTGTAAGGCTACACTGTAGAGGGTGCAGCCACCTGAAAAGAATTTGGCCACTTGAACAGATAATATGCCTTGCTCAGACCAGAGCTAGAAGAACATAATGAGAAAACAATATGACTTCCCTAATTAGGAGATGGTGGGGAAAGTAAATAAGCTTCTGCAGAGCAAAGTGCTAGTGGACTAAATGAGAGCAAATAAACCAGGAGCAGGGTTTTCTGCAAGTGCAGAAAAGAGAAGGTAGATAATCCCGGGTTAGAATAGTTGTGCTTGAGATGTTGGCAAAAAGCAGAAGTGTCTGCAAAGAGGGGGAATTGTAGAATGGGTTGAATATACTTAACTTGTGATGCTAAACATAGCCAAGTCATCAGAAGTCTTTCATTGGCATCAGGGAGCTCGTCATTGAGAGCACAGGTAGGTTACATACGTTTCAGGGACACCAGATGATGTGTGTTTCAAGGCTGGACATGTGTGTGCTGTGTATCAAAAGTTGCTTTACGGCTTTGTTTGTTCATTTGACATTGACTAAAGGAATATTAGTTACTGGTTTGGGGTAGTTATCTGCTTAGCTGGTAACTGTATGTGTAGCTTAATAAAGTAGGAGCTTTTGGAGGAAAGCGATAATCAAGTTCTAAGTTTTCCTCCTTCTAATGGAAGGCTGAACTGCAGGATTGAAACCGAATTTTGGAGATGTTTGTGTTTAGGGAATTGGCTTCATTCACTGTAGATAGATCATTTCTGAAAATTGAAATGGCATTTACTTTCATTTCTACCCTTTTCAGCTTGCAAAAGTGCAAAGCAGGGTAGGTGTGTGGATGTCTCTGTAGTCAACTTCTATATATATAGATAGGCTTTGGAGGTTTTGTATATAATATGTATATAAACATATTATATACATATATGTATATAAACATATTAGATACATGTATGTATATATACCTCTTTGTATGTAAAGGATCTATATAAGGAATATATATTTCCTCGGTATTATTTGCTGAGAAATACTTTTAACACCACAGCATCATCTTAAGCTATGTGGTCCAGTTAGATGTGAAACCTATAGCTCATTTGCCTTCTCAACTGTGAGAAGAAAACTCTAGTTAACGTTTTACTCTGAATGCTGTGGTAGAGAGTATAAAAGGAGTTGGGAAGAGGATATATATTCTAACCCATGGAACAGGGAGTTCCAAGTTGACTGTGTCTATTATTTTTGCACTCTGAATTTCCTTTGAATTGTCTCAACAACCTGAGATAAAAACAGCTGAAGATTTCTAATTTGTTTCTTTTCTTTTCGATGGGGACATGTAGATTGAGGTGAGAACTCTCCAAAGATTATCTGCCAATTGCCAGCTTTTAATGAATCCCATTTGTTTTCTTGATTAAATCTGCTGTTACCCCTGTTTAGTCTTGTCACGAGCCCATTAGCAGGAATTTTCATATCATGGTTTAGAAAAGAAATTAGCCTAGAAGAGCACCGCTCATCATCAGTCAATTTACTGTGTATTTAATGTAGTTTACAGTTTGTGAATTCAGGAACCTGAAGCTTCATGTGTGTGTGTGCATATATATATAAAGCCAAACACTATTCTTTGTGATGAAACTCTTAAGCCAATAAGGGTTGCAGTCAACTATCAGTTCACAATGATAACACTGTCATATCACTAAAGTACTTAAAGCTGCAGGGTTTCTTTGGTGAACTTCCATCTGACTGGCTCTGCCAGGTCTGTGATTTGCGTGACCAGAGCTTCCTTAGGAAGAAGAGCCTCTCAAAAGGTTTGACCTCTTACTTTCAAAAGATCAGCATCCAGTAAGGCTTATAAAGATCTGTGGTCATGAAGTACTCAAGAGCTTTGGAAGTGTTTAAAAGCAATGTGATGGGTACGGTGTGAAAGGTCCAGAGGGGTAGCATTAGGCTGGCTTTCTTGGGAACGTTGTGAGGAGAGCCCTTTAGGAGATTTCAGTATCTCCATCCCTTTTCAGAGCCTCTACATGAAAAGAGCAGAGTAGGGTGGAAATGTGGTTTTTAAATGACATTTTGCAAATCTCAAGAGCTGCCATTTCAGCCTCTCCTGGAAGGGAATACTTGGGCAGTGGAATTTGCAGAGCTGCCCCAGAAGCATTTCATGAGTGAAAAGAGACAGAGAGGACCATGGCTGAATCATTGTGTCGTGCCCTGGCATTATTCTGTAATGGGAAACAAGACTTTGCCAGGGACTTGGAAGCAAACTTTGCAAATATTTGGACATTATGCCATTACTTAATATTACCCTCTTTCTCTTTTCTTGTTTAGTTTGTGCCATTCTAAATGACTAGTTTGGCCTGCTGGCATTTGCCTTTTTCCTGCTGCTTTTCCTCTTTTCTACCTCCTTTTCTGTGAGTGCTGAAAGAGGGCAGGATCTTGATCGCTCTCTCCTCTCCACTTAGAACTCCCACATGTTTTCTATTTGATGAACAGTGGGAGAAACATCCTGTAATCAAAGCAAAAACAACTCCAATCATATCCCTGTTCCACAGGAGCTCCTAAAGATGCCTGGATGAATTTGCTGCATTTCTGGGCCCAGAGGCTGTTACTGAGAACACCCATTGGTAATCACAGCAAAAACCAAACCAAGTCTCTGAATTACAGAAGGAAAATCTTTCCCGTACACTTACCAGGGTTGGATGGAAACACAAGGACCCATTTCATAACTAACCAAGTCTGAAAATTCAGCCTCCTTCCTGCTTAATTTCTTGGCTGGATGGAAAATAAATATCTTTATAAAGCTGGTAGATGACCGTTACTACATCTCCAAAGGAGAATTCAGATGGTGCAAGAGCAATGTACCTCTCCAAAAAGCAGCTTTTCCAAACCCCTGAGGTTTCCTGCACAATATTCTCTCTAGCTACAAGACTCTTTTCCTTCAGTAAATGTATTCTAACCCTTTCAGTCTGTTCTTGCAATATGTTCTGCTTTACATACTTGATACCACGGATCTCCAACAAGGTTAGAGGTGAGTAACAATTTAAGTCTACTTCCAAATACAGCTGAAAAACCCATTATAGATGCAACCTTGAACTTTAATTGTATGAAGGCAGCTACTTTCTTAGCATTCACACGAGTTTCTTGCTTGTAAGTCTGCCTGCACTATCTGCCTGTTTATTCTGCCTCCAGACTTTGAAACCATAAATGTATAAGTTTACACACTGTAGCATTGCAGCATCTATTGAAATTTGTAATGAGGAAGATTGTTAACGTATTTGAGTTGGAGAAATAAATCTGGTTAATTATACGTTATTCTTCCTGCTATTTTCCTAGGCTACACAAGAGGTTGCTGAAATCCAGCGTTTGTTTTCATATATACATTCATCCTTCTTAATTAAATGGTTTTAAAGAGACAGAGAACACTTTGAAGTTAGCTTGGTCTAAGATTTTCCAGCACTGGCACAAAGTAAGGAAGTAAAGGGAAGCTGAAGGGATCCGTGAAAGGACAGAGTCTCTCTTTAAGGATAGCTTGTAGTAGGCAATGGGAAAACCTGGAAGTAATTTTGTGGTGCCATAGTTTAAACCTTTCTGGTACTTCTGATAAAAAAAACCAACAACAAAACCATCACCACAAAACCAACATCAACAAAAAAATGCCAAAATAAACAGAGAAACAAACCCACAAAAACCAAAACCAAGCAAAACTCCAGGTCAGTGTATCTGGCTTGAACTTCTCAGGGTTAGCTTCAGCAAAGGTGTTCATATCCTTATGGAAGTTAGAAATGAGGCTGCTGCTGGTTCAGTACAAACAGCTTCCAAACAGAACTCAACCACTGGTAGCAACTGTGGATCTGCTCAGCCCTTGATTAGCCATGTAAAAGACCAAGTAAGATTTTCATTGTGTTTTGGTTTTACCAGTGCCAATAAATACAGTAATTTTGGCTT